CCCTACTAAAACCTTGTACTTACGGAAATGCTATTTTAAGCGTAAATAACACCATGGCGTAAATTTAACACCATGGCGTAAATTTAACACCATAGTATACGATGTTTGTTTCCTTACAATTAAAACAGAATCTTAGATATTTTGCACTTAGAGATAGCAAACTATGGCTTCTCTTTGACATATGCAGATATACAACACTGATAGGGCGGGGATTTATTTAAAAAAAAAATATTCATGAATTGTTTCTCTCTAGGCATGATTGTGCGAAAGTGTAGGAAATAAAAATCCTTGGAGTGTAAGAGAAAAAATAATTCAAATGAGCTCATTTCTTTAAAGTGTTTTTTGTTTTCTCAAATTAAAACTTAAAATGAAATCAAAAATCTAAAATAATCTTATTTAATTTTCGGAAAGATCCCAGAGATAAATTGATATCAGATGAATTGTTGTAAAGAAAATTCAGCAGGCGTTATCCCTTTTTTGTAATTTCTTTCTTTTTTTCTATCCGTTACTGCATTTCACACTCGGCGTTTCGCGCGATAGATAGATAGATAGATAGATAGTAAATGAGTGAGTGAGTCTGCGAGAGAGAAAGAGAAATAAAGATAGCGTTACAGGAGGGAAACGGAGAGAGAGAAAGAGACTTTGATAGAATTTTTTGTTTATTCCATTCTCCACGAATTTACTATTGGTTTTCTCTCTTTGACTATCTTGTGTTCTTAGATTCTTGATGACTCTTCAGTTTTAAACCATTTGGAATAATTTCTTTGTAGAAATATTTAAAATAATTCCATGTCCAATTTTCACGATTGCGTTGTTAAAAGGTGAGGGTCAACTTAGAGAGGAAGACAAAATAAGGAGAATAAACTTTAAATAAATACAAGAAAAACATATCAAACGAAGATTAAAATTGATGACTTTCAAATTAATCCCATCCATAGGCCAAACAGAGTATTAGACATCAGCATTCCATAAAATCGTATTGCAATTATCCAAATACATCTTTGAAGTTTGAATCCTAATTTTAATTGCAAGAAAATGACGCAAAGTTAGTCGGAAAAAACGAATAAAAATATGAATATTTACGTAAATTAAAACGGTTTTTTAAAGCCTTTAAAAATAATTACATTAGGACATAATATTAGTTCGCGTAGATTTGCATTTTGTATAGCTGAAGTAATCGAGTCATCTTCCCAGAGTCGCTCTTACAGTAAGAACCCGGCTATGCAGCGTGCGATGAATAAATTGTCGTCTAAATTACGCATAAATGAAAATAACAGTTATTTTATTTTTCCAGATATATTTATCAAAATTACACAAAAACAATTTTAAAATACGATAGGATTAATTTATTCAATAAAATCGCCATTGACTTCAGCCATGGCCTCCAGACTACTTCGGAATCTTCTACAACTCTTCTGAACGTTCTGCTTGTTTAAGCTGGTGAATGCTGACATAATCCTTGCCTTCAGTACTTCTTTGGTGTTACAGGGAGTTTGTTGGTCTCTCACTCAACTACACTCCACATATTGTAATCAAGGGTGTTGCAGTCTGTGGAATTAGGTGGCCAGTTCTAGTGGGTAATGTTGTCGTAGAAATTGTCTGACAGCCATGGCTGCGTTCTCCTGCTTGTTTGGCATGATAAAATGCCTTGTTGCCAGACTTTGTGTCTTCCAGTACCCACCCTCTTGACCCAGGGCAGTACTACCTCCTCAAGCCACTTTATGTAGGCCAGCGTGTTGCGTCTGGGTCCCACGCCAACAAATTCAGGAGATCTTTTCTTATCAGAATCATCATCGTTATCACCATTAGACTCATCGAACTCTTTTTGAATCCTCTGAAATGTCCTCAGATTGACACCCAAACACTCTGAAATGTTAGTAATGGAGCTTCCTCCATGAATCCCAAGTTGTACAGCATACCATTTTCAAATTTCTGGCAGACTGAATTGCATCCTGGTGTGATTTTTTTTTCTCACAGACGGTGCACCACGGACGCTAACATACTGTGAAGTGGACAAAAATCTAAAACAAGCGACACGCATCCGCGAAGATAATGATATAAAATATTGATAATTTACCCATCACATCCTGTATTTTGTTCGGCTGTTCCATCTCAATGTGGTTAGCCACCATTATTTTCTCATGAAAAGACGAGATGTGTCGTCTAATAAAATGAATGCGTTTTCGGGAGACCCCATACTAAAAACTGCCCTTCCCTATTGTCTTTAGGAAATAAAGTTACGAGACACTGACTGAACTAGAGAATATTTGCACAGACTAATATTGAAAGGAACAGTCATGGAAAAAATTTGTTTCGAAAGATTCAACATGAAGTTTTAGTCTTGCCGTCAGCTGAAATTAATAAAATTTATTTTTTAAAACAGTTTTATTTTTTCGAGAGAATTATATTTTTCAAGTTCATTTTGATTGTCTTTCTGGTATTGATGGAAGTTTTTGGCAGGAGAGAAAATTAACGGTTTGATTTTTTTAATTGTTTCACCACAAGCAAAGCGGTAATGCCATTAGAACGCGGGAAATTTCAGGGAGTGAAAATGAAAGATAATGAGAAGATTGAACATAGCGGGATTGAGGAAATGAGAACAAAAAGGAAGAGGGTTCAAGAAGGCAGAACATGGCTGCTGACGTTGCATTTAAATTTTTGATGTTTGTAGTTATCAGAGAAGAAAGAAATGGGAGGTAGTTCTACAGGTGATAAGTGCGAGAAAAGAAACTCTTAGAGTAGAAGTGGCGGTTGCATATATCTATTTCAAAAGTAAAACGGTGAGACCTAGTTGCCAATCTAGTAACACGCTGGAATTCATGTAGTCGAGCCCCAGGGGAAAAAAATTCATCAAAGAACTTGCCGTGAAAATATTTGTAGAAAAGACAGTAGGAAACCAAGTCCCGTTGGTGAGAAAGCAACTGAAGTCGAGTTGCCATGCCAGGATCGATTAAATCAAGTATTCTTCTTTGGATTTTGTCAAGAATCTAGAGATGTACAGCAGGAGAACTAGAACAGATATGACAATAGCATTCAAAATTACGGCTTAATGGTGGATTTATAAATGTGTGAGATGAATGTCACGTCACAGGGAACCAATTTTTCTTGTCGTATTATTTTATCTTCTCATTCAATATGCGACCAATTTCTGTTGTTGTTGGAAATGTTCAAGTGATGCGGTTCTCATTATTTGGTAAGGTTCTTTGTTTTAGATTTTATAGCTACAATATACCGGACATGATGGAAGGCTGTTTCATTGTTGTGTGCTATCAGTTTCTTTGTTTGAGAAATAGAACGCCATATTTAAATGTTCTGTAGCCACTTCTTTACAACTTTGCTTATAAACAAGTAAAGCGAAGTCTAAGAAAAGATTAAACTGTTTTATTATCTCATTACGGCTACGCACAAAAACATCTGCAGACAACAGTATTTCTGAATTATATAACATGTCTATTAAGCAAGCTGATTTAGATACTGCAATTCCAGTTCCAAATTCTTGGCGCCTTCACACCAATCAATTATAGATCTTAAGTATGAAATAGATTAATGATCCAAGAAGACGTACCTCTTGCTTGAAATGTTTTGGTTTTTTGAATTACTAGAGAATGTAACTTATTCTAAAAGCACATAAACCTGATTAGACAATGATTTGTGCAACTCGCCATTTGAAGTTGTAACTTGCAAGTGTTTATTAGCATTTCCTTGATTTAAAAAAAATATTATCATTAGCGGAAAATATCTAACTAGAAATGTATTGAAAACTGATTAAATATCTGGCAAAATTTTCAAAAAAAGAATATGAACTGAACAGTATGTTTGTGACAACCTAAAAGTTCACTGATAATTGTTGAAAGGAATCTGACCCTATCGTGGTACTGATGGTTTGGAATTGGGGTTAAAAGCGCCTGTGTGGGAACCCTGTATGAAATTGGAGCTTTGAAAAGGATAAAAAATGTTAAACAAGAAAACGTAAAGAGAGAAACAGGAATTACAATATGAAGCGAGGGAAACATGGACAACCAGAAAAAAAATGGCTGATTTGAAATAAATTTATTGACGAGAAATTATTGTTTGGGAAAAGAAAGGAGTTCTAAAAGCAGCGTCAATTCGTTGCTGATGTAGAATATGCAAAAATTTATTATCGTAATCAATAATTGTTGTGTAAGGCGAATGTAAAAACTAAGTTTATTGTGTTGGCATACAAGACCGCGGATATTTAGGGTCGGGATCATGATTCTGGATTTAGAGGAAATAATTAAATGGCGAAATACGTGATGAGCTTGGTGGGGTAAGGAAGAGTTACGCGCGATGCATATAAACCAGACAATCAGTTGAAAGCGAGAGTAGTAAAAGCCACCGATGGAGAAGGCTGAGACGAAAAAGCAGCAACGATGAATCTGTTGAACCCATACAACCTGCCGTCACAACCATGTGTCATCCGTGATACATGCGTAGGAGATGATATATATTTCGATACATGATTGAAGAGGCATTTTTTTTCCCGCAGTATTTGGCCATTTTTTCTGCGATATCCAAGGCTATAGAACCCGGTCTGTCCTGCTATTTCCCCATAGCTTTGCGGGGAGAAGGAGAGGATTCATACCTTTCCCAATGATATTAGCACGTAAAACGCGTTCCAAGTTTTACCAGCAAGAAATCCAGTGTCGTGATATAGAGTTGAATAGGAAGGGTTAATTTTGTTATATCAACGATTGTATAAACACATTGAAAATTAAAACAGCCTCCTACTTACGTTCGTTATGATATTTGTGTTTTCACCGGCGGAAGCATTTTTGTTTTTTCATAGCACAGTTCCCAAGCTCGATTCAGCGTTTAAGTGCAGACGGAAATTCGATGTTCCCTGCACTGTGATCAAAGAACACAACGTTGAGTGGAGAAGACGAAAGAATGAAGCAATCAACAGATAGCCATCGCTTGATCGGAGCCAGTAAGGGCCAGCGTTGGAGAGACCCAAGATCGAGCCGAGCTGGCCGTGTTATATGATTACTAATTCCAAAAGTCGGGTTAATAACATTCGTTACTTCTTCTTCTTCTTCTTCTTCTTCTTCTCGCCGAGTCCTTCAGGACCTTGGTGAAAACGGCTGTCCACAACTTCCTACACTTTATATCTTTTAATATGTTTGTTTTACACAGTCCATCCTCTTCCCTGTTCTGTCATCTTTATACATAAGGTCATTAAATAGGTGACTTTATTTTTACCTATGCCGCTCTTGCCTTCAGTATGTGAATGTATGATTCTCCAAACCATATTTTCCCATTATGTATCTTAGTTATTTCAACTTTCCCATTCTGATTCTAAGTATAAATTCACTTTATTTCACCATTCTCATTCAAATTTCCTATTTGGTTACATTAGCAGACCACGTTATTCACCTCAACCTCTGTAGAAGCACATTTGCCTCAGTTTTCGTCATCTGAGAAGAAATACTCCAGCTTTCATAGACATATTGGAAGATTTATATTACATATATGTTCAGCACTCTTTTCTTTGTTGTTAATGATATTTCCCTTTTATTAATACGTTTTCTTTTTTTAAATTTGAAAATCATCTTTCAATATTCCAATGCGCAATTGGATTTTGGTGTCACATTTTCCCTCATCTGTTAAAATATTACCCTGGCAATCAAATTTCTATAGTTGGTTTTGATGTCACTAATTTATAGCTCGGATATTGGACTGTTACATTTTCTGGTGACCCTTCTTCTCTTCCGTTTTTTGGGAATCCTACTTCTCTTCCGTTTCCTGGGAACACTTCTTCTCTTCCTTTTTCTGGGAATCCTACTTCTCTTCCGTTTTCTGGGAACACTTCTTCTCTTCCTTTTTCTGTGAATCCTACTTCTCTTCCGTTTTCTTGGAACACTTCTACTCTTCCGTTTTCTGGGAACACTTCTTCTCTTCCGTTTACTGGGAACACTTCTTCTCTTACGTTTACTGGGAACACTTCTTTTGTTCCGTTTCCTGGGAATCCTACTTCTCTTCCTTTTCCTTGGAAGCCTTCTTCTCTTCCATTTTCTGGGAACTCTTCTTCTCTTCCGTTTTCTTGGAACACTTCTTATCTTCCTTTCTCTGGGAATCCAACTCCTCTTCCGTTTTCTGGGAACACTTCTTCTCTTCCGTTTTCTTGGAACACTTCTACTCTTCCGTTTTCTGGGAACACTTCTTCTCTTCCGTTTACTGGGAACACTTCTTCTCTTCCGTTTTCTGGGAACTCTTCTTCTCTTCCGTTTACTGGGAACACTTCTTCTCTTACGTTTACTGGGAACACTTCTTTTGTTCCGTTTCCTGGGAATCCTACTTCTCTTCCTTTTCCTTGGAACTCGTCTTCTCTTCCATTTTCTGGGAACACTTCTTCTCTTCCGTTTTCTGGGAACCCATATTATCTTCCTTTTTTCTGGGAATCCTACTTCTCTTCCGTTTTCTTGGAACACTTCTACTCTTCCGTTTTCTGGGAACCATTCTTTTGTTCCGTTTCCTGGGAATCCTACTTCTCTTTCTTTTCCTTGAAACACTTCTTCTCTTCCATTTTCTTGGAACACTTCTTCTCTTCCGTTTTCTTTGAACCCATCTTATCTTCCTTTTTCTTGGAACCCATCTTATCTTCCTTTTTCTTGGAACCCTTCTTCTCTTCCGTTTTCTGGGAATCCTATTTCATTTCGGTTTTCTGAGACCCATACTTCTCTTAAGTTTTCTGAGAATCCTACTTGACTTCCGTTTTCTAGGAAACTTATTTCACTTCCTTTTTCTGAGAAATCTACTTCTGTAACATTTTCTGAGAACCCTACTTCTTACAGTTGATGAATAGTCATTTCTTTCCGTTTTCCTTTAATAAAGTTTCTTCGTAATGTTTTGTGTTTACCATCAACGGAGAGCCATATGTGTCTCGTATGTTAAGATTGCGTCTACCTCTAATAAATCCTGTTTAGACATCTAGATCCCTCATGTCATGATTGCTTCTTTATAACGGTTCCATAAATCAGATATCAACAAACATTCTTGTCTTAACCCCGTTTCTATTTTTGTGTACGTAGTTCATTTTCTACCCGTTTACACTCGCCTTTCACCAAGTAGCATTGTAAAGTCTGTTCTGGCACAAATGAAATTTTCGTGGCTGTTCAAATAGATTTTTGCGTTTTGCCTTATCAAATTATTTTGCGTGTTCTATGAAACGTAAGGGATGCAAGGACTAAATAAATCTTTTATTAATGTATTTCCAATTTAGATTTTGGGATTCAAATATTTTCAGAAACTTTAAAGACGTTGGATATTTTCTTCATCGGTAAAATTAGAATATTTTGTGAGTTCCCGAAACAAGAATGTAATGCCACGCCTACATTTCTTCAACTTTGATTGGTCAATTAATATATACTAAAAATCGTAAGACAATTTATCGATCGCATTTCATCATACTGAATTTTTTCCTACAGTTTGCTCACAAACAAGTTTTGTTATAAAATCACTGATTGGTTCATTTTTCATTCAATCGAGTATTTTTCGTATACCTTCAGAAATATATCCCGCGTTCGTGCTGGAAGCCACATATAGTAGTATAAATTTGGATGCATTTCCCAAATCAAAAAGTAGAGTAATAGACCACAGTAGAGTACAGTGCAGAGACAATAGATCTCGACTACTCACTCGTGTTATTCATCCTACTCACTCCGCACGTACACACACACACACACACACACACACACAGATACAGGACCTGAAGTTCATACAACATCAGTTCTATGTGAACAAACCAAGTTGAAACAACTCTGTTAGTTACGAACACACAACTGAACAATCTTCTGAAGATACATTCAATCTTAACATAGAACTCTGAACTTTTTACTCAGAAAAACTTGTTTAAAAACATTTCCTAACAGATAAAGGGGAACTACTTTTTATCCTTATTCACACATTATACAACTACCTTGTATTTATTGTTGATTTTAATATATATGTTTATTCGTTGAAACAAATTGGTTCTTCATTGTTTTTCCTTGATGTTTTTAAATATTATGTATGAATGTTAAATGCGTATTCAACACGCATCAACATTTATCTATTCAACCAAACACCCGTTACCAATTACATTGGTATCCACCGACGTTAGATTAGCATACAACATTGGTAACCCCAACACTTAAGAAAGCAGCATTCTACAAGAAGATAGATATTTAGCAACGGAATGCTGTTAGATTGGTTGTTAGTTCGAAGTTGATAGATCTAAGCGGAAATTCTATTGCAATATTTACTTCTCAGAAAATTCTCGCATATAGAAATCTATTCTGTCTTGTTGGTTACCTGGCAACTACGGCTTTCAAACATTTAAATTCAACCTTAATCGTCATCTTCTGTTTCTCTGAATACTGTTCTTTTATTGCCCTTTCCACTAAATAAGTTGTAATTAAATTATTCTCACTGTTATCCTCATCTTCATTGCCATATTCACAACGTTTCGGCCGCTTTTCGCTCCGGCTTTCTTCAAGTGATTGAAAATTCGAACCGAACCTTTTATTTGGTCCACCGGGGTAGATTGTTCTAGGTCAACCTTAATCGTCATCTTCTGTTTCTCTGAATACTGTTCTTTTATTGCCCTTTCTACTATATAACTTGTATTTAGATTATTCGGACTGTTATCCTCATCTTCATTGCCATATTCACAACGTTCAGGCCTTCTTCAGGTGATTGGAAATTCGAACTGAAACTTTTATTTGGTCCACCGGGGTAGATTGTTCTAGTTCTACGTGTCATGCTTCTTCTTGAATTCTCAGTTATTTCCCTTTAACTTAACTCTCCAATTTGTTTGGTTCACTACTGCTGTGGACTGCCACTGAACACAAAGTCACTAGTCACGGGATCTAACAAAGGTCTTTATCCACTGGGCTATGTGTCCACCAGGACATCTGTCTATGAATTTCTGGGGTTTATAAACCTAATGTTTCATCATTTTTTTTACACAGTGCTCACATTGAAATTTATAGACAGATATAACAGGTAATTACTTTATTTTATTCTCAGTGCACCCTCCCATCTAAGTTGTTTTTATCACCTAATTTTGGTGCAATGTTTCTATTTAAAATCACACCAAGCAAGGCAATAAAGCCACTGAGATGCAAAGGGGTTACTGAATGTCAGAAAATACGCTGAAAATATGATGTTAAGGATAAAAGACAATAAAAGGACAAAAATTAAGAAGACAGAATATAGCGATTGATATTGAGTTTCAATTTTTGAAGATCAAAAATGTAAAGGCAATGTTAGTCGGTATTATTATTTATTTGATTTAAAAAAAAAAAAAACTTATTATTAATTATTGAGTTATTTAATCAAACAACCACATTCACGCAGCAGCTCTATTTACAGTAATAATATTTAGGAATGGGGTTATTGCAAAGTATTCCCATTGTTCGAAAAGTTTCACCCCCCCCCAAAAAAAAAGTGAATGTAATCCCTTTTTTTATATTCGGAATACGAAAACAGCAGTAATCAAAACTCTGAAATATGATGGGCCTAGCTTTTCCAATACATTCAGTTCCCTTTGTCAATAACAATAACGGACGTTGCCAGAATGATAAACACATTTTTTTTTTTTTTGTTTCCTTTCTATTATTTTTGGCGGGGAAACTAGATTTCTAATAAATATAGATAAAGGCCTGTTTTCGCAGTTCTCTGCTATACCGGAAAATAATATATCAAACATTTAAACGTCTTATCTTTGTTATTATGTTACACGCATAATAAATGTTATACACACCTTAACTTACTGTGTAATGTGGTGAATGATATTTTATAAAATATTTAATGAAATATTTCATAAGATATATAATTTCGGTTGAAGTAAATCAACATTTACCGTGTATAATCCGATTTCATGTACAGTGCAAACCCTGAATTATTTTACCCGCCACTCCACCAGAAAAAAGTATTTAGTGCAACCAGTCAGTGAAAACATATGGAGAGAAAAGGAAGATCACCACCCTCTGTGGGATCAATTTGAGATCATAGACAAAGAACATCATTCGAAAATTCGTAAACTTAAGGAATCAGCACATATGCTAGGCCACAAAAATCTCCTTAGCCGAACAAGCATGGCAATGAATACAATAAGGGAACCAGTAATAAGGAGTGCCAGAGACAATCAATAATAACAACAAAATTGCAATATGAGCTCTGGTAAAAACATGCAATCATAACTGCAAAGATTTCAATATGAGCTCTGGTAAAAATGGTAGCTGAAGACATAAGGTTTATAATACTCAGAAGTTCATACACTGATGAGAACTCATGGCACAGTGGATAAAGAGTGTGAGTTCAATACCTGGTTAAGGAAGTGGAGCAATTTCAGAAGGGAATTAACAGGAGATAACTGACATCCATTAGACATGGCACGTGGAACTAGAACAGTCTACCCCAGTGAGCGAAATAAAGGGTTCAGTTCGACATTACAACCACCTGAAGAAGGCCGGAGCGTACAACAGCCGAAACATTGTGATAAACTTGGCGAGAAAGATGAGGACAATAGTCCGAATAATGTAAATAGTATATATATATATATATATATATATATATATATATATATATATATATATATATATATTCATAACAAGTAAGTTGATAATGTCGCTAAGACGTAGGGAGTTACCGGGGATGAAAGAGAATGAGAAGTTTTTAATGAGGAGAAAAAGAACAATAACAGAATAGGACTCAGGAAAAATGAAGATGTCGACTAGCGCGCCTTTTAAAAATTTGAAGACTACCAAGAATTCGGAATCGATTTGCACAGAGAAGTCCGACAAAAGAAATTATTATCATAGCAGATACGACTGTATGTAGCTAGTTCATCAATGAAACGATGTAACCTAGTTTCTGATCTCATACTATGCTTAACTTCCTGAAGCCGAGCTACCAAGAAAGACAAATCGCCGTGAAAATATTTGTAGGTAAAAAGCAAATAAAGGGAAAACGCGCCGTAGGGGTTGGTAAGTAACTGATGTCGAGTTGTCAAGCCAGAAACGATAAAATTACTGCCAGTTCTCGAGATATACACCAAGAGCAAGAGATGTGGCAAACGTCATCAATGAACCGATTTATAAAAGTGCAAGTTTGATTCTGTCCAGAAAAATTATCCAGCCTGTCATGGTACCAAGAGACGGAAAATCACATTATAGGTAACCCATAGATTTTGTGAAGAATTTTGAAATAAATATTTGGAGGACCAGACCATATAAAGCAGTAATACTGAATGCACAGACGATTGGCATATATATATATATATATATATATATATATATATATATATATATATATATATGTATATATATATATATATATATATATATATATATATATATAGATAGATAGATAGATATATACATATAGATATATATGCGTGCGTGTTTGTGTGTGTGCGTGTGTGTTTAAGCAAGACATTATCTTTAGGCATGTCTGATTGAATAATTTAAAGATATTATGCCTACTAATTTTTTAATAAAATCCGTTCATACTCACGAATAACCCATGAAAACAAGAAATTTAGATTACAGAAACAGTTACAGAACATTTCTCTAATAATTTAACATCAATACACGGAAGAGTATGAACGGATTTTACTAGAAATTAGCAGATACATTGTGTGAAATCATACTTATTATAAAACACAGGTTGTGTGTTTGTCTGT